TCATGGAATAAATTTAATCCAATGAAATGTTTGTTATTCCATAAAAGAATAAATTTCAATTGTTAAAAAAATCAACCAAGCTTTTTTTTTTCTTAAAAGAAAAAAAGATCCTTTGCAAAGAAGAACCCTCGTGTGAATCAAAAGCCATTTGTGAATTTCGATTATTAAAATCTTTTATCCTGATCTTTTCCTCGTGTTTTTTTTTCATCTATCACTATAGAAGAATAAGCTTCATGCAAACATCAAAAGTCATTTACAAATTTCGATTGTTTTAAAAAAAATCAACCAAGCTTTTTTTTTTCTTAATCAATCGACGTATTTTATTTGTTTTTCCCGAAAGGAAATTTTTTCATTAATCAACGATTTTATTGTTTTCTCCAAAAGGAAATCAGATCATCCACTATCCTTCAAATGGTCAAAATCAAAGTTTTTTCTTATACCATCTCTCTTAAATGGTCAAAATCCAAAAAAAAATTTTAATTCAACACAAACAATCAAAACAAATTTGCACATATTGTTTTGTTTATCATTTTTTTTAAATTGACAAAACGAAATAAAACGTTTTTGAACCCCGGTCTCGTGACCAGAAAATATCACTAACACGTTTGTGCGACAAACCTTTGACGATCTGAGGTAAAGGTTCCAAGACAAGACCATCAGTTTTTGGTCATTTTGAACAGTCTGAAATGTTGGAGCAAGACGAAGACCTAATTGGTAGACAGCAGTCAACACCACACAAAAAACACCTAAAGCGAAACACAATTTCCTTTTGGTCAAATATCTGTTTCGCTCAACCTCGACCAAAACAGATAAGTTTTTCAGTTTTACAAATCATGACAAACAGATAACAATTGGGATTCACACAGTACGTGACATAAAATAACCACAAAAATTTATAATTTTTTTGGGAAAATGAAAATATTCCTGTTCAAATTTCAACTTTATTAATTTCAACAAATTTCAAATCAATTTGCAAATCATTTCAAACCAGCGCAGCAAAGAAAAAAAAAACGACTCATCACAAAGTTTTACCCTTTGATTTTGATCTCATCCTTCCCCAAAAATTCAATTTACCAAAGTTGAAAAACGGGTTGTATAGATTCGTTTCGTTTCGTGGTAATTCGTACCGTAACTGAATGAAATGAATCGAATCCTCTTTACAAATGAATTATTTCCCGTGCAACCAAACATTTCAAGTAGTTAGATTAGGGAAACATAAAAAAATAGGAGAAATATTACACAAAATAATTCGTACCGTAACTGAATGAAATGAATCGAATCCTCTTTACAAATGAATTATTTCCCGTGCAACCAAACATTTCAAGTAGTTAGATTAGGGAAACATAAAAAAATAGGAGAAATATTACACAAAATATAATAAATCTATACAGAAATTACGGCAATTAGTAAAGCACCGTAACACGGCAACCTTTTCTTCTTTTATATATGTTAAAAGGAAATAATGTAACCAGCCATTCTATCGTTAAAACATAAAGCCCAATTTTATATTTTATATTTTTATATAATGTCATATGAAAAACTATTATCATCACTATTACCAGAAAGAAAGCAATTTGTATTTAAAATTCATAATGAAATGCATAATAATACAGTAATTAAAAATTCTGATGAAGAAAGTAGAAAAGATTATTTTTTTTCATTAGTCCAAAAAAACACAGAACTTTCTAAAAATGAAAAGGAATATTGTAAAGAAAAATTTATTTATGGATTTGAATTAAATAATGCAGTGTGTAAAAAGGGAAAACCAAAAAAATGCAATGAATGTAAATTGACAAGATACTCTGATAGATTCTGTGAAGGTTGCATTAGTTTACAATTACAGAATCTTTTCACTACTTGGACATCCGGGAATAACATAGTTGATAATTTTATTCAACAATGTCAAATAAAATCATCTTTGCCAAACTATATTTTGGAATGGATACCTTTTAAGCAATTTGATGATATAAAAAAGTTAACTGAAGGTGGATTTAGTTCAATTTATACTGCTACATGGACAAGAGGAAAAATAAACGATTACAATGAAAATAAAAAGGAATTTAGTTACTTTGGAGAACATTATGTAGTATTGAAAAGTTTAAATGATTCAAGTAATCCAGGCAAAGGCTTTTTTGATGAGGTTAGTAGTTATCATTTAAAACCAAAATAAACAATACCATGTTATATAATACTAATTGATTTTATATTTATTTCAGGCAATAAATTATTGTAAAATTAAATCAACATCAATTGTTAAGTGCTATGGTATAACTAAATTCCCAGATAATGGAAATTATGCAATAGTTTTAAATTATCATCCAGAAGGAAATTTAA